GAAGCCGCGGCCCCGCCGGGGCTACTACCCCTGCGCTCGCCCCCTCACCCCTCCGCGCTCGCTGCCGCCCACCTGCCCCTGGTACTGTCGCTTCAGTCACCGCGGAATAACCCTTCCCCAGACAAACCCGCTTTTGTGCGTAGGGCACGGCGGGGTCTCGCGTGGCACTTGCGTTGACACGCGTGCCATAATGTAACCGCGCTGCGTGAAAAAGCGTCACCTTTGGATCGTGAACTTCAGGCTGCTTTTGCGTTGTGTGGCTGGTGATTTTGGGATCACGACAATCTTCAGGATTAACTTTCATTGCATCAGCTCGTGACAAAGGTCGAGTGAGGGAAAGCATAGGAAATCTGACAGACCTTCAGAGATGGAAGGGAATGTGCCCGCGTGAGCTGACCCTCCCTCTCGCTGGAAGCCCACTGGGCCAGTGCCCGCTGGCCTGCTGTGCCATGCTGCTCGCGAGCTGCGCAGAGGCGTCGGCAGCAGAGCCAAAAGTCTCTGAGAAACTTGGTTTCCAGTTTACAGGCTCCCCAGTTCCCCGGGGTGTGGGCTGCTTTAGTCCCTCTGGATGGAGGAGGCCCAGAGGTCACACACTCACGTTTAACCATGTTTTAAAAGCAGCAAACACTCTTGTTGCTCCTCTTGCAAGTAGATACAGAAAATTAAGAACAAAAAAAAAAGCAAACCCAGATGTATTTGCACACATATTTAGAAGAATGCTGTTTTCTGTGAACTAGAGATTGTAACGATGCTGTGTGTCTCTTCTAAACAGGTGGAGTCGCTTTATCCTCACCCTGGCTGGGTTGAGTTAGATCCTGAAGTGCTGTGGAGTCAGTTTGTTGGTGTAATAAAAGATGCTGTAGAAGGTAAGGGCTTATAAAGTTTGAGAGGTTAATTTAATTATTCATCAAAATTAGCAAAGTTGGTTAATTAGATAATAAGATTATTTTTTAATAGTACTGAAAATCCATCACTGAGCATAGGTTCACAGTATTCTTTAAGGCCTGTTCAGTTGTTAGGTGAAATAGGACACTTCAATTACTTTTTTTCTGCAGTGGGGCCCCATTAGAATTGAATTAGAACCAGAAGCAGTGAGTGTCCTTGATGGACATGTCAGTAACAGCGCCTTGTTGCTCCAGCTCTTTGTGTATGTACCCTTCCCTGGTGTCTGCCTGCCTGCCTTCCTCCAGATGCCTCTGTGTAGGAGCAGAGGGCAGGCTTGTTTCCCCTTCCGATTCTCTTCCGTTCTGCTGCCGCTTTGTGTGTGGATGTAAGCAGTGAGAGAATGAAAGTAGGATGCTGCAGTTGTGCTTGCTTAATGGCAACCTGATGTTCCCACTTGCACCATTCAGACTGCAAACCTGACTTGGGTGGTGGTGTTCTCCCTTCGTGCTTTAGCTTTTAGCCTAAAATGTTGTAGTACTCTGTGCACTAACACACACACAGCTCCCTTTTCTGCGAAACTTCTGAAGGGTTTTTTTCCCCCCTTTTCTGGATTCTGCCCTAACTGTGCGCTTACTCCACAACTCCCACAGCTTTCCCGTTACGCCAGCTGCAGCATTCTGCCACCCAGCATGGCCATGCTGATGCCGTGGCCCTGTCAGCTGCACCCCAGCTCGCTTTCTCAGTGCCCCAGCCTCCTTGTCACGTGTGTGTGTGTGTCATACTCTTTCTTTCGGTGCCCAAAGGTCCTCCTGTTCAGCCCCCTTTGTAGTTTGGTCTCAGTGTTGCTCTGCCCCCATGCCTGGCTCAAGGCAAAACTGCTCTCGGTCCCTTCCTTTGGAAGGCAGCCTTAGGGGATGGGGAAAGTAACCATTACTCGGTGTAAGGTGCAGATGATTGTTTTGGGCTCTTGTTCTGTTTTCTTAGCAGCCACGACTGTTGTGTCACAGGAACAGCAATGCCACCTCAACCCCTAAAGACCTCACTAGCTTCCTCCACTCCCATTCTGTGGGGCAAATCAGGAAGCAAGATTTTTCAGCTCGTTTACAAGGGGAAGCTTTCCTTGTGGCCAAGCTGTGCTTACTGTGGGCAAGTCACTCGTGAGAGGTTGTGCAATGTAGTTGAGCGTAAGCCCACGCTGCTCTCAAAAGCAGCAGTCCCCACCCTCCTTACAGGGCTGTTTCAAGTCCAGAGCAGTTTCCTGAGTCAAATCACCGTGCAGCTGTTTATGCCAACTTCAAGAGTGCTTGGGCCTGGCAAGAGAGGATGTGGGACCAGGGGCAGGGATGACTGCCTGGAAGCAGAAAGAAGGCATAGGAGCACTTCAAATTACAGGGCTTGTGGAGCTAAAACGTGATGCCATGCAGAGGTGGATGAGCTGTTGTAGTTCAGTACTACCTGGGGGTGGAAACTGCTTCTGGCTTCCCACCCCTGTCGCACACTCTGGTACTCGTTCAGCCATCCCAGGTGACAGCTTTGCTTACCAGCTTAGCTGAAAAGTATCTGTGCTTTGCCTTCTGGTTTGTTTTTCTCTGGAGTGGAAGTTAGCTCTGCTTGGGGTACATTGGGATCTAGGGAGTGTCACAGGGAAAGTGGTGGGAGCGTGCAGCTTGTGGGGGTGGGGAGGAGTAAGACATGCCAGCCTAGCCCACAGTGAACTGTGGCGGGACCAGTATGGCTCTGCCTTCAGTTTAGAGCCAGCTACTATTGAGAAATACTACTGTTCTCAAATCACAGCTCCCAGGTCCTCCCACACGCTCCCGCTGCCAGCAGCGCTTGTGCGGGCAGCTGGGGCAGGTAGCCTTGTGAAAGCACTGCTTTCATTTTCACTGGTCGAGAGCCTGGGGGCTGCTGCCTGGGGACTGCAAGGACCAGCGTAAGGGAAGGGGCAGAAGCACGTGTGGTGGTCAGCAGAGCAAGACATGCCCTTTCTCTACGAAACCCTTCTGTAATTGTCACTCGCAGACTGGCTGCAGTGCGTGCTGATGCAAAGGAGTAGCTTTGCACGTGAAAGTTAACGTAAGAGCATGTGTGAGTAGGATGTACTTAACCTGGGGTGCGTTCACGTGGCCCTTCAGAGGAACCCTGCTTCAGACAAAATAGGTAGTCTGTCACTTAAGTGGGATTTCTTAATGTTTTTTTTTTTTCACTTAATTTTCCTTCTGTAAGCGTGCATGGAGGTGCTTGGGAAGCTGACCAGAGCTGTTCTGAAAATAGCTGTGGACGTATTTAACTATTTACAGTTATATATATTAGAAAAGACGTTCTGTAACAGTTACTTGGAAGTAAGGTTTAACAGCAAAATTGGTGTACGCCCAAGTGTACATTTTTATACTTCTGAATTTGAGGTGTGCTTGAAGGATACTTTGTTGCATTCAGTGATTTATCAGATTTGTTCTTGGGTATTTTGAAAGACTGCTTAAGGAGTAAAACATTTAAAGTGATACGTCATTATTGAGGCGATGTAAAAAATCACGGCATGCTGACATTAATCTCTTTACTGCCTACAGAATCAATTTAGTTTTGTTTCTTTATGGAATTTCTTTCTGGAAGTTTGTAAAGGTACCTACTCCTTCTGGTTGTGCTTTCATTCACATTTATCCATGCAAAATACACATTTTAATTGATTCTATAGGCATATATAACCTGCCTGCCTGACTCCGGGATTGTTCAAGTAGAGTATTAACAGGCAGAAGGAGGAAAGGGTCCATGTGTCACAACTGCTGTTGTAAAATACATAGGTTTATCCACCCGGTTTGCAATCAGTTGGTCTGACTAAGAGTTCTCTGATGTGCCACTGCTCTAGCCACTTAGTGGGTTGGTCTGTAGAGACTTATATTCTCTTATATTATTAGTTTCCTGAGGATTCCATATGTTTTATGGTTATATTAGAAAAATTTTGTTTGTTTATTCAAATAAATGCTTTTTGAGTGTGGTTTGTTTCTGTTTTGTAGCTGCGGGCCTTCACATGAGGCAAATTGCTGGTCTTGGGATCTCAACGCAGAGAGCAACCTTCATTACGTGGCACAAGTATGTCAGCTGTGTGTGGTTTGAAACAAATTTGTGTTCACAGAAGCAGGCTGTAGGAGTGTTGAGTTCAGTCAAGTCATGACCTGAGAGCAATGAATGCCAGTCACTCACGTTCTCTCGTGTTTGCACAGCCACGCCTCACAGCAGTTTAGAACCGTTTGTAAGTGTATGTCCTTTTTGCTTGGTTCTTAGTACTTTGGAAAAGGTGAATACAGAAATATATTTAAATTCTGATGAGAAGCCTCATGCACAAAATGTCTGCATGCATATTACTTACTAATCCCTGAAATCCAGCTGGAGGATATTCACTTACTTTAGGAATTGACCTAGTGTCCTAACAGGAAAGGGTGAATGATGTTGAATTTTTTGGGCACTGCATGTTCTGTAGTTTTTAGATGAGAATGTTCAAAAACTGTTTTTCAGGAGGACAGGGAAACCTTTTCATAATTTCATAAGTTGGCAAGACTTAAGAAGTGCTGAACTGGTGAATTCCTGGAATGAATCCCTTCTGCTGAAGGTAAAACTGTGCTAAGCTAGTTACTGCTTGGACGTGTTGGAACTGTGTCGTTTTTATGAAGAGTAAGGGTGATAAATACTGCAAGTGTCCTGTTAACATCTTAATGTGACGTGCTGTGGCCTGAAAACATTTAACTGAGCAGGTTTAGCATGCACAATAGTACAAGAAAAAATGCGGTACTGATAGCCTGAAGGTAATTAATTATGGGAAAAGGTATGGTTAGGTCTAGCACGCATTTTGTTACTTTTTAGTCTGTTTGTTGTGTAAAAATGTTGCATGTTAACACTGCTGCAGTGTAATTTTTGGCTGTTGGCAGTGGTTTGGGTTTTTGTTTGTCGTTTTTTTTAAATGCACTCTTTGCTCAGCTTATCTATAGAAGGTGTATTTTATGCTGCTCATGGCTTGTGCTTTGTACCTTTAGAAGAGAAAGATTTGTTCTAAGTGAAAAAAAAAGAAGTTACTTTTCCTGTAAGTGGGAATAGGAAGTTAAATTCTTGGTTTTGCCATTGATTACTTTTGCGAAGGAAAACTTGGCTAATGCTTAAATTTTGGTTAATGCTGTAAAACATGATTGAGCCTGTATACTGTAGAACTTTGGCTGGAATAGCAGTACGTAATGCAGCTGACCACATCGTGCATTGCGCTCGCGTAGGTGACTTGTCTTTTTAATGCAGAGCAGTCTCTATTAGCGCCCCAGCGGAAGTCAGTAAAACAGACTGGCTTAGTGCAGCTGCTCTTTCCTGTGGTATTTGTCGTGGGAAAGCTGTCTCTTGAAATCCTATGCAAGGATTCTCTAACAGAATTTCAGCTTTCTGAATCTAATCTCACATAAGCAGCTTTCATCTGTGTTGTCATGCTTTAAAGATAATTGATCAGAAACCTTTAAAGGAAGATATTAAAAATTAAGTGACTGTTTTCTTTTGAAACAGGTAATCCACGTTATTTTTACAGTGCTTCATTTCTTGACTGGGAATGATCGATACTTGGCACCAAGTTTTCTTACCTTTTCAACACAACAAACTTCTATGAAGTTGTCATGGGTTTTTAAAAACATACAAGAGGTAAGATGGAACGGGGAAAATAATAGCTTTCTTGTGCCGTAATAGTGGCTAGTGACTTGGGTTGGTTGTAACCTCTTCAGTTTTGTCGTCTTTGTTCTTTTCCTCAGAAGAACCAGTTTGAAAGACTTCTATCTATGTTAGTGTTCAAAGCCTGCCTACCTAAATACCTACTCGTGTTTATACAACTTCTTCCTCTGACTCTGCAAATGCGTAGTAGTAAAAAGTTTTCTTCATGCATAGGTAACATAATCAAGTCACCTTACTTCACATAATTACACAGTTAGTAATTGTTCTTTGTTTTAAAGTTGTTTGCACTCCAGTTTTGCATGACAATTGTATTATTTTCACTGGCACTCTTACCTTTCCACTCTGCATTATTCCAGTGTTTACAGTTTCAAAAGTAATGTCATACCCAGCAGTCAAACACTGCAGATTATTTTGCATTTTGTTTTAGTGTAAATTGGAAAATACACATAAAATAAGTTGTGCTGTAATAATACAACGGGCTAATGAGCACTGAGCTATTTGTTGCTGTATTCTTTGCCATATTGCTTACCATTTTCCTTGTTTTTTCCTATTGTATTTATAACCTTAGTCGTCTTATTTTCCCTGTTAATTTTCAAATTCTTTTTGAAGAAAATGTTTATAATCCATTTTCTACCCTATGTAAAGAAAGCCCAAAATCTTTCGAGTTTTGTCTGCTATTTTCTGTCACAAAACTAACTACTGAGATGGTCAAGTACAACTTTTTACTGGCTTGTTTTGGTTGGGATACGTGCTGTGAATTGGGAGTATTATAGAATTGAAGGTTATGCAGCTGCTGAGTTTTCAGTGTGAAATCTTCTCCCACATTCTGTCGGGCATTGATACTTAAAATATGTTACTATCAAATCAAGGAGCTCAAAAATTTATGGCTGCTCTTTACAGAGAACAATGTATTCAGTCATATTTTGAGTGAATTACTTCGTACGTTCTTTCTCCAAGGTCAGGAGTTGTACACAGTATCAGTTAGTAGAAATTAGGTGAAACCTGAATTTCCCATTTTAAATAATATTTTCAACTCTTTACAGACATCATAGACCAGAAGATAGTGGCTCTGTCTTTACTGTTCTCAAGCACATACTTTGAAATATGCGTATTTCTTCTATTTCTGCATTTGGTGGTTTTTTTTAGTTTTGTTTAATTTAAGTGAAGATGCAGGAGTTCTTCTTTATTCACCACTGCTACAATTGTGACTATAAAGTTTCCCTTCTTAAGGCTGTGATGCCACCACAGTAGGAGATTAATTGCTTTTCTTTCCTTAGCAGGAGCTGGAAACAAACCTGTGCTTATTCTCTGTTAGGAGCATGAACTGTCGGATCATGTTACTTACATAGTCGACTTGCCCTTTTTAGAAGAAATGCTGGCAGAGACTTATTTTCTGGGGACGTTATCCTCAACCACAAATAAAAAGAGAAAAAGAATCAGGAAATATGTTCCTTTCTATTGTACCCAGTTGCAAATACCTTTTTTTTTTGTTATGTATATTTATTCCTAGGCTGAAGAAGCTGCCAAAAAAAATAACTGCTGCTTTGGAACAGTTGACACGTGGTTACTGTATAGGTTGACTAAAGGTGAATGTTCCTCTTAACTATTAATAAAACACACTGGAATCTAAGTAGTGATGTTCATGACTGTCATTGATACGTCCTAGAATTCAAATATTTTTTAACAGTTTGTATTTTTTTATAATTGATGAATTTACTATTTTAAAGAAATAACTTCTGAATTTATTATTCTTTGGGCCTGCCTGGAAGGGTAGTCAGAAATTATTCGGTGTAGTCAACTTTTTAAGCATTTAAAGAGGACTTCCAGGACTAATTGGCCTTGATTGAAGAAAAGTACCTGTGGCAGCAAGAGGACAAAGAAGTGTCACAAGTGTGGAGCAATTATGAGTCTCTGTCCTGAGGGCTACCGCCTCAGCAGCTGGATAGACTACTGTAGACAGTGATGCAGTCAGTGTTGTACATGTTGTCCAAAGTACCCGCTCTCTTCTAGCCAGCTCCGTGAGGGTAAAATAAGGTAATTAATGTATACACATTATAGTGAGGGCAGGTAAAGTCTGTGTGCTTGTTGTATCATAATGACTTTGCTGATAGCCAGTTTATATTACATGGGAGCCACTGAGATGTTTAAAGAAAACGTATGTTTAAAATGACTCTTAAATATTTGATTACCTAAAATCTCTGCTCTTTTTTTATGGTAGGTTCTGTGTACGCTACAGATTACTCAAATGCCAGTGCTACAGGTGTTTTTGAACCCTTTACGGTAGGTGCTGTTCCGAAAAAATACTGTTGCTATTTATTGTGCTTCTGAGAGAATTGCTGACATTTTTGCTTTTTCCAAATTATTTCAGAAATGTTGGAACCCCACTTTGTGTAATTTACTTTCCATTCCAATGTCTATTTATCCTCCAGTCAAAGACACAAGGTAACTAAGAAAGCGTACACTTACAAGCATATAACACCTGTTAAATTATTTGCTTTTAGAGAAATCTTACATAGTCTGCACAGGCCAATTAATATGTAGATACAAAAAAAATTTTTTTATATGCAGATATACTTTTTTAACACTACATCCAAAACTTCATTTTTACTCTCAGTATTCCTTGAAGTGATAACTTTAATGCTTTCTTTAAGATAAATTGGTAGCATTGCCTTTCTTATGTGCTGCATACCCAAGCCTTAGATGTCTAGATTCTGTTTTTAAAAAAAGGTTTTGTGACGTTTTTCCATAACATTTGTTTTAAGTTTCAACTTTGGATCAGCTGACTCTGAAATATTTGGGGTACCTATTCCAATAACGGCTGTGGTGAGTGAGAATGTTTTCTTAATTGAATCTGTGTATTTGTACCTATATTCTTTTTATCTAGCCTTGATATAATGCTTGCTTGCTTAGTAAGTATTCTCCATTTCTTCTCTATGACTTCACTACAGTAGAATTAGTTATTGAATTTTTCTCCAAAAACTCGATTTACAACATTAGAGGGAAAGGAGAAGAGAGGAGCAGGAAGGGATTACTGGAGGTTGAGGTCCATTAAGGTTGCATGAGGAAATGATTAAGTGCTGAAGGTAGGACTTAACAGTCCACTAAAAATAAGTGGAGACTAATGTGTTCTTGCCTCAGTTGATAGAATTTGGATAAGAAAAATCCATTGTTTTTGTAAACTGATGACTTGCAGAAAAATCTACTTGAGTTTAGCTAAATAAAAAAACTGTCATCTAGGTAACAGGAATTTCTCCTGCTGTTTTCAGAGAATTGTAGCCTCAGTTTATCTGTGAGTTTGCTGTTTCACCAAGGCAAAAACATAAGTAAATGCATTTAAGAACCATCATGATTGTTGCAAAATTGAGCATGGAACAATTTGGTCCAGGTTGGGTAGCAGAGAAGTAGGAAGGTGAGTCCTCAAAACCTCAACCTTCTATTTGGGGGAAGAGGAATTCAAGGCAAACTACTCTGTTTTGCTCCCTGGGTTTGCAGATGCTTTGTCAAATATCCTTGTCAAATACTAAAACATAGAATATTTCTTTTGTTTCCATAACATGTTTGTCAGTGTTGCAAGCAGTACTGCAGATGTTCATGTTGTGTCCAAACCTGGTGTAATTTGCCTCTAGTGATAAATCTGACTGTTGGAACCGCCTGCAAATACTTGAGAATTTCTATGAGCTCGCTTTTCATGCTCAATTCCTTTCTGAATGGTTATTTGCTTTCAGAACTCTGAAGTGTTTGCAGTGATACTTTTAAAATCCAGCAGCATCGTGGGTTGGTAGTTGGTAGCTAACTTGTTTGTGTTGGTTCAACAGGTAGCTGATCAGCAGTCTGCCATGTTTGGAGAATGCTGCTTTCACCCAGGAGATGTTAAACTGACAATGGGAACGGGTGGTTTCTGGGATGTGAATACTGGAGGGCGTCTCTTTGCATCACGGAGAGGTAAATTAGTGAAATCTTAGTTTTAGAGAATTTCATGTTATTTGACAACTCTTAAAGATGAGGGTACAAAAAGCGGTAAAACAGGGCCATGCTTTTTCTTCTGTCTTTAGCTGCAGAAAAACAGCTTGAAAGTCTTTTCAGAACAGAAGACTGGGGAATTTTTTAATTAGAAATGTAGATCTTGGTTATCCTGAAATATGCTTCTCAAGAAGAGAATTTAAGTAACATCACTTGTAATGATGTCTGTTACCTGCTTCCATCCCCTTTTTTTGGGGTGGGTTTTTTTTTTTTTTCCCTTCACCTGTTGCTCTTGATAGCAGTATTATACTTTATAGGATTGGAGAAAAAGGGGATCGGTCTTCTGGCTTCTCACATCAGAATGCTCCAGTGGATCACTAAGTTCCTCCTCTTGAGCCCTTATGCTTTGAAGTACCTAAAGTGGCAGGGCAGGATCAGCAATTACCGGTGTTCTTTTAACATACTAGAAGTGGGGTCCACAGTGTGTGTCTAGTGTTTAAAACTGTCATTCTGACCATTTGTGGTCTGTCAAGCCTGTTAATTTGTCAAAGATGGCTATTTGTCAAGAAGGCAACAGATGACACGGAAGTAAATTTGCCTGCACAGTCTCGCTCTGTTTGTCTCTCTGTTTGTCAGTCATATTTTTGAAGAGTGACTAATTTTGGGAAGCCTATAATTTAAAATGGGAGGGGTGGGGCTGAGGAGGAGGACAGCAGCATGCTAAGGAGACTCTTACCAGCTAAGGTCTGGAAGGACATTGGCAAATCTGCGAGATGTGTCAGAACTCAGTGGCATAGACATTGAATTCCCTATGAATGCAAATGCATTTTAGGCTAATTAATGATGTCATTATGGTGGCACTTTTACTTAGGAAATCATATGTATGTAGTCTGCAGAAATGTAATAGCAAAAACATGCTGTAACCTTTTTCCTGTTTCTTTTTCTTTTTTTTTTTAAGAAAGTATTTAGCTATCTGTTAGGAGTCGAAATCTTCAAGGCAGTGCTGTAAATCTTCTACTCCTTTAGGCTGTTATTTACCTTAAAATTATTTTCCCTATGTTCTTTGGCTGTGATGTGGTATGGTTACTAGGACAAGTTCAGTACGTAGCTTTCTCAGTGCCCTGGACATGAAATGTAATCTGTTCAATCTTTAAAGCTGACATCTGTATTTAAGACTGCGAGATGAATCCCTACAGCATCCTTGCACAAGCTAGTCATTAGCTGCTGTTCTAGTTTCTGGTCTTCATTTAGTTGCTACACATAACAGTTTAAAACAAGAAAAGTTCCTTCAAGAACAGCACTTCTCACAGTGATGGAAGCATGTTGTATAGATTGAAAATCTATAGATTAAAATATATATTAAAATCTATCTCTGTGGCACTCTGATAGTTCTTAGTAACTGGTCATACCAAGTGTCATGTCGATCTCTTTGTTCCTGGAGGTAGATTATCTTACATGACTGGAGACTGGCGCGAGCATCTTCAGGAAAGCCACCTGATGGGGACTTCTCTGTCCCTAATTAGCTGTCCTTCTCCCAGATGTTTGGCTCAGTGAATCATTTGGTCTTGCTTCTTCGCAGCTTCACCTTTGGTAGAAAGTAAAGACTGTAAGGGAGACCTGCACTGATGATCTGGAGAGTTGTACATCATTTTTTCCTTTCAAGAGACAAAGACAGACTTTAATATACATAGGTGCTGTGGTTGTTTTCCCTTGTAAGCACCAGGGTGCCTCCCGCACAAGCACCAGCACTGCCAAGCCACTCCTTTGGACGCTGGCAAGCAGACTGGAGGTGATTCTGTGAGACACTTGTCTGTCAGCCAAGTCACCTTGAGAAAGCAGAGAGAATACTTTTCTGGTCCTACAGTTGCTGGGACTCATTTACCTTTGTTGGATTACCCAATATCTCAGACCCGAGCAGGCTCCCGTAAGGTCTGTGTGCTCTCTTCACTCCAACAGTCATGGTACTTGGGCTGGGGGAAGTTTTTATTTCAGTAGCCACTGCATGTTTCATTTCTTCCAGAGTTACCTGAATGAAGTGACTTGTCCAGCAGCAGTGCTGAGAACACTTATTCTAGATAACAAAGTGGTTTTGCTTTAGCCCTAGAAGCAGTACTCTGGGACATTTTGTGTGTGTTCTTACTAATACGGATACCAACCAAGGAAAGTCTTTGGGCTCACACTGACTGTTTTAAGTAATATGTCTCCTCTTTGTTAAGGTTTCAACATATGCGGGGAGAAGGCAAAGGGGAGAAGGAATTATCAGGTTTATTCTTACTAGTGGCTGTTTATTTCCAGCGCAATAGTACCATCAAGCAGACAGCTCTTCGCTGTAGTGTGTTTTCAAATAAACTGACAGCGTTTGCCCTGTATATTTCTGCTGTCTTTGAAGAGAAAAAAAACCAAAAACAAATAGCACAAAGTCATTGAGAGGTTTTGTGAGTCACTGCAAAGCCAACATGACTTAGGGGAAATCCAGACTTCCTGCAGATCTGTCACGTAAACCAGGGAAGAGCTCACCTTTTGTAGTTGCAGACAAAGTATGCCACAGGTACTTTTCATGAGCTTGGGTGTTTGTTTTGTTGTTTATAGTAGGCAAATGTACAGGTAAAATGCTGTAGTTAACTGACTGTAGTCTGTGCTGGGGACAAGGATGGGCAAACTGTGAAACCTGTTTCTTTTTCCCCTTCTGTGTGAGGAAGCATTGCATATTGAAAAACGAGTAACAAAGTACATCACCTTCATCGCTGTGAATAGGATCTACGTTCTAAGTTTGTGTTGCCTTCTTTTTGTATGTGTCTCTTTTAGTATTTGTACTTCCCACCTGAAAGCCCAGCTTTCATGTTCTATGTTTTGAGGAAGCAAATTCTGACTTTTTAGAAGTCATCAAAAAAAATCAGATGGATTGAAAACAAATAGGAAATAATTTATAATTTTTTAAGTATACACAGTCTCTTATCATTTTTTAAAAAAAGTGTGTGCAGATAGCACTTCTCTTTAGCTTAGAGGGACTTTTTTGTGATTGACTAGTGATTTTATTTTTTCCAAGTTAATTTTGGTTTAACAATCTATTGTTCGATTCTCTTGTAATTCCATCACTAAATTTTTAAACAATATGTTTAACCTGTATCAGTGACTCTTTTTTTAGCTTGAATTCTACAAATGAATTGAATAAAAGCTACTCTTATTTTTTTTTTTAGTTAGGTTTGTTGTGGGAGGTGCTTGTATATTTTTTTTTTTAAATACTTAATTTAACAAGGTGTTTTGTTTTGCTTCATGGAAAATCATTAAGGTCTGTATCCACTGATTGGTTGGAAGATTGGGGAAGAAGTTGTTTACTTAACTGAAGGCTGTATGTCAGACATTGGCAGTGCTGTAAAATGGGCTCAGGATATAAGTAAGTAGTTCTTTAATTTCATAGAAGGTAAAATATATTGCTGCTTAAGAAACTGTTTCATGGGGTTATAGTTAATGTGGCTTGGTTTTATTATCCATAATTGAAGAAACTAGCCTATGTGTTTTGGACAGTGGAAAATGCAGTCTCGTTAGCAGAGTAGTAGTTAGTTTGCTGACTGTGTTTGCTACAGGTAGTTTGGTTTGCACAATCATCTCCTCATTAGACTCTGCCTCTCAAACCCTCCTACATACGGAGGCTTTTATTTTCCTGAAACATTTACTCCTCACTTGCTTTCTCTTGAGCACGACAAACTTCCTGATGCTTTTTTGTTTAAACCTGGTATGCAGACTTGAATAGGTATGGTGTAAAGGAGGCCTATCTGAGGTTAGATGTGTGCTGGTTTAGGGTATTTGGACTTCAATTTTTAGCTGAGCAGCAGCACAGACATTGACTGTCGATTAGGTCTAGGTAGCATGATTGTAAATCCTATAGCCCACAAACACTTGCTGTAATGCTTTTGAGAGATATCTAGCTGTACAGCTCAGAATTAATAACAGGTTTGAGTTATATGAAGTAAGGTGAAGAACTTTATTTTTAAAAGTAAAAGTGTTGTGTATGTTGCTTCACGTAGCAGTAATGTGCCTTTTGGTTGTGACTTATATAATGAAAACATGTGCGTTGCTGTTTAATAGAAGACTAAAAAGAATACTGGCTCTATAGTAGCTGATGTTCAAAACCACTGACTGTTTATAGGAAAACTTTTTTGAGTGTTCTAATAAACTATTAACTTGGGTTACTGAGAAATTTAGTACGCCTTTACTAGGATGCCAGAAAAGGAGTTAGTGTCTCAAACTTGGGTAATCTGGCAAAGGTTTTCCTGAAGTGTAGCTTACAAAAAATTCCACATTTCTTGAAGTTGTCAGCTTCTGGTGCATATGTGCATGTACATGTTCATGTACGTGTCCTTAAGGATTAATTATGGCTCAGGTTGGTCCACAGGTCTTTAGCATTTGACTGAGCCTAGAGAATAACAGCTACTGGTCTTTCGAGCAAACAATTCAATACACAGTTCATGGCTGCAGATACTTCTGTCAGTGGTACATATGTAAGCTGGCTACTTCAAATTCCATATTTAAAATGGATACTTCTCCATACTTCAAATTGATATTATTGGTATATGCAGAGCAATAATACAAAGGATTTTTAGCTAGCCAGTAGTGAAATGGATATGACATACGGTTGTTACCCCAGACAAAAATCAGCGAAGTTTTACAAGGAGGTCAAAAATAGGCACGCTGCTATAAACTCTCTGATAAGCAAGACCTTTATTTCCTTATGGAAATATGATTGCAGAGACGTAGAATTCAGAAACTTTTATCAGCTTTACGAATAAAGAGAAGGGTAAAACTTTGCTCTATAGTGGAATGAGGTCAAAACATAAGGTAAGCTAATGGCCTCAGTAAGGGTGGTGAGGCTCAGCATGGATGAAGATGAGACATACAACAGTGATAAAAGTTTGGAAATAGTGGTTCATGCTGAGATTTTTGAAAAGACTACCCTTTTCTAGGGGGCAGAGATGTGTGAGGGTGGTTTTTTTTTGGTTTGGTTTTTTTTGGGTTTTTTTTTACTTTTCTCAGAACAGGTTGCCCAGAGATGTTGTGGATGCCCCAGCCCTGGAAGTGTCCAAGGCCAGGCTGGATGAGGCTTGGAGCAACCTGGTCTAGTGGAAGGTGTCCCTGCCCATGGCAGGGAGGTTGGAACTGGATGGGCTTTAAGGTCCCTTCCAACCCAAACCATTCTGTGATAAACAGGAATTTCTGCAGCAAGACAAAATTAGTTTAATGTGCTTCTTTTAGTGGGATCAGATCACTTCTAAGTATTTTGAAAAAGTAGTATGTGAAATTTCAAGGTGAAGTCAATCTCTCCTAATTTTTTCATTTTCTGTCCTGAGATAGAGGTACTATATATAGTTCAGTACTAGCAAATACAGAAAGAAATGAAAGATGTTATGTAGGCTTATTAATGCTGACGCTGTAGAATCCTCTCGTGGTTTAGCCTTATCTGGCAATTAAGTACCACTCAGTTACTCATCTCAGGATCAGAGGAAAAAAAAACAACCAAGGAGAGCTCATGGAAGTTGAGATAAGAACTATTTAATAATATAAATGAAACTTATAGTGATACTAACAATGCTACTACTATAAGTAACTAAAACAATAGAAACTGGAACATATGATACAGTATCTCATCACCTGTGGACTGACACAGCCAGAGTCAAAAACAGCAAACCAAATTGGAGCAGAGAGAAAAGAAAATCCCGAGTCCAAAAACAAGGAGAAAAAACACTGTAAGCCTGAGAGCCCGAGAGCAGAAGGAAAAAAACCTCCAACCCCCCACCCCACAAGCAAAAGAAGCTGCTTCTCTGCTAACAGCCTGCCAAGATCCTCCATAAGGAGCTATCAGCACAGGTATCTGCTAGCCCAACAACTCTAAACAAACCCACCCCTTCCAGGCCACTTTCGTGCCTTCCGAACTGCCCTGCGGGCCAGACTGTTCTGGGCAGGAGGGCAGCTCCTTCCTGCCCAAAACCAGCACAAAACCAAAGCTCTCAAACAAATTTATGAAGGTTACAAAGGTAAATTGAAACCAAGATGGATTTTTCAAAGATGACTTGAACTAGATTAACCTAATCTATCTTTGATAGGAGAATTTACTTTTTAGACAAGAAAAAGCAATAGAAGACCTCCTGTCTTCTGTAAAAGCATGTTATGTGGCCACATAAGGGCATCATTAGTTAAAACTACAGAAGATGGGTGTTAGTACAGCAATTTCATGTGGGTGAAGAGCAAGATAAAGAGGGATGTCTATAGAGTTGTGAAAGGAGACCTTTAGACAGAGACTAAAATTAGTGTCTGTCAAAGCAGTGATATTAGGACCTACTGTGCTGGGTTCATTCAGGAAAGAGTTTCCTCTCTTACCTGTGGCTGCTATGAAGCTGTGTTCCTGGATTTATCCTGAGAAAAGTACTGATAAGGTGTCTTTTTAGCTGATGCTGATGAGTGCTTGCACCAAATTCAAAGTCTCTCTCAGCTTCTGATACTGCAGCTGTGTTCCCAACTTTCTTGCTACAAGTAGTGCATGGGGACACAGTTCAGGCAGCTGACCCAAACTGACCGAAGGAGTATTTCATTCCATAGCACGTCATGCTCCGTACATAAGTGGGGAGTGGGCTCGCAGGCCACCACGCTCTCTAACTCTCTTTTTGGGGTGGAGTGTGTTGTTTTGTTTATTTTGCCCAGCCATGCTTTCACTGATAGGGTTTGCTCAGAATCTGCTGTGATCACTCTTGGGCTCTGGCTCTGACTCTTACTTTTTTGGGACATGGTTGTGCATCAGTC